GGTGGGGGTGGGGGTGGGGGGCGGAGTGACAGTAGGAGCCAGAGCTCAGGGCAATGGCCGTGTTGCTCTAACACCATTTCCTGCCAAATGCCATGTATTCTGCCTGCATTTCTTCTCCGGGCAATTGTGGAAAAGGGAAAGCATGAAGCGGCAGGCAACGCCTCTGTGACCTCAACACACATAAATGGCAGAACACCAGGTCGAGGCCCTGCTGCACCTGTTGCCATGGTACCCTCCCCTGACCCCCTGAGAGGGTGAGCTACTTCCACCCCTTCAGGGATGTCCTGCCATAGCTCTGCGATGCTATTTCCTCTCTGCATGCCTTTCCCTTCACTCCAGGCAAGAGCTACTCAATTTCCATAAACGACTTAAGTGTCAGCTCCTTCAAGTAGTCTGTCCTGAAGCCTCCTGGGTCACTATCTCGCACACCCAGCTGAACACAACACTTAGGGAGGGCGTATGAGGTCTCTGAAGTCAGTATGGATCTGACTGCTTCACAATCAAGAGCTGGCTGGGGGAGAGAGAGGTTGGGAGTTGAAGCCAGTTCATTCTTAGTTTCCAGGGGCAATGTGCCGGGATCTGGGCTGGGGTGGCTTTGCTGGGTGATGTGTCAAGCTACAAATGAAGGAAGAGCCGGTGCACAGACCTCTACTGGGGTGGGGTAAAGAGAGGAGTCCTGGGGGGTTGTGGCCATGAGGGGGGCAGTTGGCGAGGGATCCAGGTGAGAGGCAGATGCTGACAAGGAGGAGAAGAGGGGCAAAGACAGATCCAGGGCAGCAGTGTGTCTGAGCAAATGCTCCTGCTTCCTGAGGGCCTGACTCAGGTAGTGGTGGAGAATGGTGCCTGATGGGGCAGGGCCCATCCTGAGGCTGATTTGCTCTGCTGGGCAGGATGTGAAGAGGCAGGAAAGCCTGCTGGGAGCTGATTTCCCAGGTTATGGTCACCCTCATCTGCAAGCCCAGGGCCTTGGATCAGGGCTGTCCTGCTCAGCTGGAGTGCAGGACGTTTCCACTCTCTGCAGGGGTTGCAGGGTTAGTTGACACACTCCCTTGTAGGCAGGCGCCTCATGATTTAGAGAACGTTCTCAGGGCCAAACACCGCAAGAAATCAAGGACAACCTCACAGTGTCCAATTTCATGTCAATTGGTATGTGAGGCCAATTACCCACCACTGCCTCAATTTGTAAAAAGGAACGCCTCAGAGCTGGTGTAACCGGACAAAACTCGGTGGGCTCATTCAGGCTCTGCTTCAGCTCCTTCAGTTTCGAGTCTCTACCTTGTGCGGTGTGCATGTGATTCCCAAGGTGATGAGTCAAGTGCCTTTACCCATCCTCCCAGTCCTGTTCACTAAGTTTCATCTGCTAGTATGACCCCGAGCCTGGCCCGGGGCCACGTGACTGCTGCTGCTCAGGTAGTATGCAGTTCCCGAGGCCCACACACCTGCACATCTCCAATGATGTCCTCCATGACCACATCATAGTGAACAATGAAGTTGGCCGTGGTGCCTGAGCTGGAGAAAGCAGACTGGTCTTGCAGTGTTGGGGAGAACGTGATACGGACACAAGTCTCTCCACTCTGCATCCTGGTGGATGGGGTCAAGTCGGCCTGACCTGTATGGGTAGGTGGGGAGGGTTGGGGCCAGGCAGCACGGAGGATTCAACAGACAGAAAAGCCATGGATGGGGACAGCAAGAGGGGCAACGTGTGGGGTGGGTGAGATGTGGAACTCCTGATACCACCTGCTCCCTCCCCTGCCTACCATGCCCTTCCAGATGCCCCAGCTGCACTCTTGCCTCAAGCCCCAAGAGTCTCCTGCATGTCCCCCTCCATCACACCCTGCCTGACAGACCCAGGCCTACCCTCAGCTCCCAGCACTGGGGTTTTGTCCTTCACTCACAACCTCACCCTGCCTCACTCACTTTCCACCAGGCACAAGGCCCATCTCTGGAGGACTGGCTTGTCCCCAAGTCCATAGGGAGCCTGGATCTCCCTCCAAGAGAGTCAGTGTAGTGTGTGTGAAGACAGAGACAGTCAGGGCCAGGGCCTGGGTCTTCGCCCATCCCCCTTCCTTCTGTGAGAAAGAGCAGGCTGGGGGGGCGGGCTCTTCTCTGGGGTAGAAATGCATGGGTTTTCTTTCTCTTCTGCCCCCCTCTCTCCCAGCATCATATGTGTGAATAAGCCTTTTAGCATCTCATGAAATCACTGATGGCTTCTGGTCTCGGATGTTTGCTGAGCTGCCTGCAAGAGCAAGTCCTCTGGAATCTTAGTCCAAGACAAGTGTCCATTTAGAAATGTGTCTGTGCCTCCTTTTCTCCTCAAAATGGAGACTTGGGAATTCTGCCCCTCCTCCTCCCTGCTACAGCTGTCAGGAAGCTTAGGAGCAAACCAAGTCTCCATACTCTGAGGTGCCTGCTCACATACATTCCCTGGGCTTCCTTCCTCCCAGAGCTCTTTGTTTGGTTTTATCCCCACAGGATTGCTTCTATCCTCTGTTTTAACCCTTAAGGAGAAGGGGGAGGGAGCTGCCATTTATAGTCTGGGGCTGAAGCATGCAGGCTGCTTGACGCAGCTGGCCCCTGGGCCCATGTCCCTCTTACTGCCCTGGGTACCTGGACCAGTTACTCCTTTCTCTCAGCCTCAGCCCTCGCATCCACAGCACAGGGGTGGTATTGCTCCTTCTTGAGAGGAGCTTGCCTGTGGGGTTGAATATGAGCTCATTTGGAACCACATCTGGATCTTCCTGGGTAGCAAATGATGGGAAGGATTACCAGGATCATCAGTATTCGTTACGATACTTCAGACCATTTGGAGGGGGGAATGGTCTCCATTTCTTACAGTGGGTCTTAGGGTATGGCTCCATGTGAGTGATTCCGTGGCATGAACATGGCCCTAGGTGCCATCCTCGGCTCTGAGCAAAAATTCTCGCCTTGGTCCTGGGCCGTAGATGCCATCTTCCTCATTTTACAGATCATTGAAGAGAAGTAGAGCCGTGGGCTGACTTGCTCTGGTGGCCCCGCTTTATGGCAAGTTCAGTCTGGCTTTTGAACCCAGCCTATGGGTGTGTGTCTTTCCACATGCTCCATGCTGCTCCTCTGACTAAGCAAGGTCCCACCAACCAGGTCCTCCATCTCTGAGAGGATGGTCACTTCAACTTTGTATTTGCCGTGTGCCTGTCTGTTGAGCTCTTTTTTTTTCCTTTTTTTACTTCTTATTATTTTGTTCTTGTTTTTTAATTTTTAAGATTAATAACCACGTGATTAGGAGAAGCATTTCATTACAACTTTAACATATTCAGGATCATGTTCCAGAGCAGGGATCTCTTTCAAAAGTGGCTGTAAATTTTTAGGTTCACAGTTGAATTAATACAGTTATAAAGTATTGAACTCAGTATAAACCCTGTAAGACACAAAATTGAATGAGTTTTTATTCTTAAAAGAAGTGTAGGGTCTCTCCCTTCCCTCGTGGGTCATTGGCCACGGGTCCATGAGGACAAAGGGAGCTGAAGTGACGAACAGGGTTAGGATGGCCAGTGAGCACTGATGGAAGAAAGCCCTTCTGGGGAGGCAGGTCAGTGATTCAGTGAAACAGCTCCAGACTCAGTGAAACAGCTCCGTTTATTCAGTGGGGGTTAGGGAAAATATAGTGTGGAGGCAGTAGCCAATGCTTCAGCTGATAGGTGCTCATAGTATGCTTTATTTACATGTGGCAGTAGGCTCCTATAGTCCAATTACCCGGCAATGCCTAATTATCATATAGAAAAAACCTGGGGGTAGTTTCTACTCCAGGTAACTATGCCAAAGGTCATGTTCCAAATACGGTCAGGTATCCATGCTTGGCAGCGCTTTCCAGGTAAGTCAGGCAGAGAGCAGGAGGCCCCTGCTGAGAAAGGGAGTCTTCCTATAGCGCTGAGCCCCTTAGAGCTATCTGGACATGGAGCACTACAACCCTAGCAGCAGGGTTCCCCAACATCTCCCCCTGTTTTGTTTTACAATGGAGAAGTGTCATCATAAGCTTTAAGAGCCAACTCATCTATCTTGGGAGAATCCAAAGTTTGATAATTGACCATGACCTCCTTGGTAGTAATTTTTGCAATGGTAGTAATTTGTCGGCGAAGAAATTGTATGAAATGGAGCAAGCATCAAAATGACACACAGCATGATCGGGGGCTAACAAAGGTTAGGAGCCATAAAAACAAGGGGTTATTAAACCAACCTAATTGTTCGGTGGGTTGAAATCTTGAAAATAGATCATTACAAAGTTTTTTGAGAGTATTAACATTGGTCTCAACAACATTTGATTCATTCACAAAAAAACAGCATTCCTCTCCCCCTGTGTTCAGCAGTTACTAAGTCCAGTGCTCTTCTGTTTTGGAGCACAACCCTGGCAAGAGAGTTCATTTGTCTTTGGAGAGACTCGAGGCTGTCAGTAATGGATGCCATTGCCTGGTCCAGCTTGTCTTGAAAGTCTCCTGCCAGGTGATGGGTTTGTATAATAGCTGCAGTGGCAGTGCCTCCGGCACCCATGGAGAGGGCAAGTCCAAGTCCCACTAGTAAATGGATGAAGATTTCTCTCTGCTAGCGGGTATGAAGGAGGAGGGCAGCCTCTTCTTCCTCAAATAGGTACACCTGGGGAGTAATCATTGCAGGTACACAAAAGGTGGACAAAGAGGAGTTAACACAGTGTTGGGCTTTTCCTTTGCACCATAGCAAAAGAGGAGGGGCAATGCATGCTGTCTTGGAGAGAGTAATGTTAGTGAGGCATTTGTAATGAGTAGGCTTACTCTTGCTGGAAATGCAAATTGGATAGTTAGCCAGTTGTTCGAATAAGGGAATATCCATCAGATGAGAGTCGGTGAAATCTTTTTTCATTTCTGGGTAAAGAAGGGTGGTATTAGCTGGTACTGTTGTCAGTAAAGGTCTATTGCTGGATGCACAAAAGAAACAGAGGCATTGGGGTGGATGGTGAAGGGAAGAAAGTTAGCAACATATTGAATGTATTGGCTCCAGGACATAGTTGATCTTATCTGGTCCTCTGTTTGTTTTTCCTGTAGAATATTATGATGAGTTCGCATGGGCTTAGCTGCAGGTACAAGCTGTCGAGAGATATGAAAGTCAGCTGTAGGGTAGGTAGAGAATGCACCTGGGTAGAACTTTCCCATTACTCCGATACACCAGCAATCATCCCATGGATCTGCAACATATATTAGGGAATAGTCGTGGTTCCCATAGAGATACTTATTATCCTTTAGATAGATGGGTCTTTCCTGTCCTGTTATGCCCTGATATCCCCCAGTTAATCCTAGTTCCAACCTACAGGGATTGAAATAGCGGCAGCCCCCATAGGTATCAACTTCCTTGAGGCATGATGGATCTGTCTGTTGGAAAGGGAAGCAAACATATTCATTAGTTTTGTATCTGCTAGCATTTGGGTATTCTTCTGGAAGGAATAGTTCAAGTTTAAAAGTCCCCCCGTCAAAGGGGGAGTCCTGGGGGCCAGCAATAACCACATGAAAATGGCGGGCATTGCTCTCATCCGTTTCTGCTTTAATGCCAGGAACTGGCTCTGCCAGCAAACGCTGGCTTTCCTTGATGATCCTGTGGGTCAGCCCGGCCATCTTGTCAGATCCTGAGTTCGGCCTCTGCTCTTGTCTCTGCCTCTGCTCACCTCACGCACGCTCTCCATTTCATTTTAAAATATGCTGTTTCCTACATTTTTAATGCTACTAACACTTTGATGTTTGCACATGTGTCTTTAATCTCTATGTATCTGATGATTGCTAGTCACAGTCGGTTACACTCGGATCCTTAGTACCCGAGTATGGATATAAAGTCATCAGGTAGATTTATGGAGTCAATATAATTTTTAAGAGTCCATTTGTATAGCTAAAGGCTACATAACAAGAAACAATGCCAGACAGGCGATACCTTCTTTTGAGTTGTTGGCCAGGGTGGCCAAAGGGATTCCC